TATTTACACCCAACTATAACACATAAAAAATACGCAAGGTATCAGTGGATATAAGATAAGACTAAGTGACTACTAGTATATGAATAGTTTAAAAAAGAAGGCTCCTTCAAAAATCGCAACTTATTAGACCTATCCCTTAATAACTAAAAGGTCCATGGTAATTATACCCAAATTTATTCTTTTTTGTACTTATGGTTACAGTGTGTTGTGTTCCGTTACAACAAAATTCTGATCACATCAATCCCTTACAGGTTAGTGGAACCAGAAAAAAATTCGAGAATAATCTCGATACCAGTCGAAACGCACCAATAGTGAGAGTGTAAACACGTGCGGCGCGTGTCGAGTGCGCGGGCGCATTGCAACAATGCCGGCCGTGTCACGGCCGCGCCCACCGGTGAATGTCCACGCGTGCGCGCTTTGAATAAAACATGACAAACGTAAATCGTGGGATATTGTACGGCAGATCACATTCGGCGTGCCGTACCGGTGTCCTATTTTATGTTATATACTTGTTTAATGTCTAAATTGGTAGACCTGCGCATTTATGGAAAAGCTTTTTATTGTTAATAATTAATAACGCCTGTCACCATGTATGATAGGAGGTATTCATTTATCTACACTTGCTTGACTCAATGCCTTTCACCGGATATGACCTCGACTATCCAGATTTATTCCTATCTTCTTTTAAGTGTGTCGTTTAATATTTTACACTTTTAATGGGGAAAGCACATGAAGTTGCATTACCCTTCATGGCAGCGCGTGATATATGAAATTTAATACTGTAATGTGTAAACAATCGCATCAAACGCCTGGTTAAAAACTAGGGAATTACTTGTATTAGTGCCAGAGCAACGGAATTCACCTCGGGGCCCTACCTAGAACACCCAGAATAGAAGCAATTATAAAAAAGTACATAATATATTTTCCAAATTGGTCCTATGAGAAATCGAACCCGGGTCCTCCTCATCCAGCGCCCACAATGCAAACCTCCGGGCCACCGAGGCCGTCAATCAAAAATCAATACGTTGATTTCCTTTGTTCTGTACTTGTATTGATTCAGTGAGTAAATTTCATTGGTTTTATATAATCTAATTGTTTCAGCCTGAACTACATACTTTATAGACCATGAAAATCCAAAAGGTGATTTGTGATCTAATCGTACAGCTTAAGTAAAGAGAAGGAAGGCCCCTGATGAATGAAAGCAATAATAACGTTTAACGAAGCGTCTGAAAATTGGTTTAATGAATGCGAACATCACCTATGACTTCCGCATGGCATTGTATAACCAAAGCTTAGCTTTGTTTGAAGTAGCCCACTAAAAAGATTAATGATATAATATATCATAATATATCATTAATTTATCATATTATGATACTTTGTACAACTGTAATTATTTATAAATTATGATTTTTTTCATGTACTCTCCTTTTTTTTTCCTTTTTTTGCGTGGCAAGGTGGAAATACTTATGGATGCCATAGGTCCGAATGATATGTTCGACTTCACTCAAACTCAAACTCCAGTAATCTTTATTTCATAGGTAAAAGTTACACTTGAAATTGTCACATTGATTAAACTATATTACTCATTTGTATGTCAGAATACAGGTGCTCTTTGTAAATAAACATTTATACATGTTTATCATTTACAATATTTATTTCAAATAAATCGAGACAAGCTGCAAATGGGGTATTACTCCCTGATCTAATCCCCAATAACTGGTCCACTACCAATTTTAAATCCCAATTGATCCATTCCATATTTTGCAACTCCCATCGGATCCCCTCGTTGTATTTGTAAGGTAAGTACAAGGTAAAAATAAATTTAAAAATCAAATATTCATTTATTGAGCAATTGTGATCAAATTTTATAATTAACACAGAATAATCAATAATTTTTGTATTCATCATCATCATCCACAGCCTGATTTCACCCACTGCTAGGTATAGGCCTCCCGAAGTTTGTGCCATCCACCACGGTCCCCTACTAGCCTTCATCCATCCAGCCGCATCCATTGACGCCCCGCAACGCAAAACGCCCCGTGAAGCTTCATATTACAGATAATAATTTTTTTTTGGGACAAGCAAGGACTTGTATAAATCCGTGGGGACAGGTCATTAATATTGGCATATTGCAAATCTCAAGTAACAAAAAATCAATCTTAAGTAATATTTAAAATGTAAGTTTTTTCTAAACAGTGACTAACTGTGATATTCCCAGTCAAAAGTTGGTCAGTGACTGTGACGTATTTGTGCCATTTATCGATTGCTATTTCTTTTGTTAATCGTCGCTTTGTTAGTGGGTTTATTAACTGTAATTTATATTTATTGATATGTACAATTTGCATCATCACTTAAACCTTTTAAATGGTTTGGGGATTTTTCTTCTTGACTGTACCATAGTACCTACCAAAAAAAGAAAGTAAGTATCTGGGTATCATGTGGGATTAAAATAGAACTAATTATTCTTGATGCAAAATAAAACGAGTCCATCAGGGGATTCGTTTTTGTGGATCAGATGGGAATAAGCCTTGGGAATAACATGAGGTCCCAGTGGCCTACGGACTAAAACCTCCCCTGTTATTTTTTTTTATTTTTTTATGATACTAAGTAACAGGACATACAAATCGACGACGTCCATAGCAGTTGCAGTGCCGCTCAGAGCTATAAATCGCAAAGATGTGGGGCACTGCTACTGCGACCGTCTGCCTGAGACATAAGTTGACAAGCCTCATGTGCCTGTAATTTCACCACGCCCTTACCCTTCAAAATCGGAATGCAATAATTCTCACATTCTCTGGACAAACTTTTTAGCTCTACTGCCAGCAGCAGGTACCTGCTGTAGCACCCTTTGATCTGTTAGTTATTTTCTATCTTTAATTATTTTTTCATTATTAATATTTTTATATATATCTAATTTTAATAAGCCTAATTAAAGGTAATATTAAGAAATGATAGCGTTAAGCATTATTTATTTATAATATTATGGTGTATTGCGCAGATAGTCGCTAGCAAAATAAAAAAGAAACTTCGTTAAAACTTATTTTTTAAGGAACAACATTTTCTATTATATTCTACCGAATGTTGACAGCTGTCAGGCCTATAAACGAAATGGATTTATTATGTGGATAGGTATAAAAATTGTCCGAACGTCCTTGTGAGGTAATGCAGCCACTCCCACTCGCTCCAGTTTCTGCGTTTTGCACTTTCACTATCATTGTAATTCATTTTGCGCAATCACTATGGCGCATGCATAATATCTGATACCGTTTTGACTAAATATAATTAACGGGCGACGAAATTGGCGCTAAAACAATTTTGTTGTTCTATTGTATCGTGGAGTATTCGGAAAAGGCTAAGTCTAATTTGTTGGTACTTAGAATGATTTTGAAATAGCTGCACCCTGACCGTTATTTTTTTAGAAAACTATAATGGCTATTTTGATAGAGACCGCCTACATTTTTCATCAAGGCAGATCATTAGGTCGAAAAGCAATAATGTGAGCATACTGCATTCCAGTTCTGAAGGGTAAGGGTGCTGGTTTAAAAGGCACGCGACTTGTTTGTTCCGTCACTTGGTATAAAAAAATAATATTTTGATGCTAAATTGTGAATTAAATTATGAGTATGATTAATGAAGAGAGTATGATGGAGATGAGATATGATCATAATATGATCACAATATTATTGTAAAGTTGTTGCGTCGCTTCTGCATATAATGTATGTTTTTATTCATACTTTTACCCACATGATCTTCAGCTAAATGTTTCTATGCTATATACGTTAACAGTATTAATTTAGTAATAGAATTTCCGAGTTTCACATCAACTATTTACTTCACATTAATTCGACCTCAATATTTTTAACCAACTGTAATAATATTATAATTTTATAGGTACTTTATAGGTACTGATGTCAATTTGAGCAAACGAAGATTAATTTAATTACTTAATTTAAGTTCAATGCATCTTTTGGTTAACTACTTAATAACACGGATGTGACAGAAGATTTAATTTTAATTTAGCGTTGTAAATTTTTGACACCAACCACAAAATTGTACTTTATAAATTTACTCGTGATGCGGATTCATGCTGTCTAAGCTTGTAAAGTAGTTTTCTTAAGCTTTGATTAATTTTCCAGCTCCAAACTGAAATAAATTCTTCTGTCCTTCTCTTATGGACAACAAAAGAGAGTAACGCAATAAAATTATAACTAAATTTATGTTAGCCAGCATCGACGTCATTGACCACTTACCTTAGTCCACTCATTCTTGGCCCAATTTTATAAACGCTTATCTGACAATTCGTTATTGAGATCTAGAAAAAACCTCGACTGCAAGATCGAATAGCCCGATCAATAAAGTATCAGATTATATTTCTCGATGAATTCACTATTACTAATATAAATCTTTGAAATTATATGTAAAATAAATAGTTTCTAAAAATGTTTGCCATTTTTATATTCATTTCAATGATTCATGAGTTACCTACTCATGCACCTCATTTACTGAACATCTTTAAACAATCGTGATCTTCATGAAATTACGACAGATCTGGTTAAGCGACGACAGAAAGAAATAGGCAAGATTAAAGTATAAATATTATATTCTATGAAAAGTATCCTGTAAATTGTAAAATACGAAAGGCAGGCTACTGGAGCTTTGGAGGTTTGTCAGTATTTAATTATTTTATATTGAGTATTCAATAATAAGGATTTATTACCAATTTCAATTTATTTCACATTTACTCAACTTAATTATAGTTTAACAAATAAATAAAATGTACATGTAATATAAAATATAAGACTGTCTTATCTTTTCAAAAGGTAACTAGTTCTTGTGGGTAATATTCTGATGAGTAGGTAATTTAGTCCTCTAGGAAATGAAACTATTTTTCCGGATTTAAATCGCGTATATTTGTTTTTTCAAACAAACCGACGTTTCGGGCCCTTTACAGGTCCCATGGTCACGGTTGACTGATTTAAATCCGGAAAAATAGTTTCATGTCCTATGTGTAACAATCGCGAAAACCTAAGAACTCGATATAATTTAGTCCTCGACTAAGGTTCTATTTGAAATAAATTTTCGTGTAAAATAAATAACAATGAAGTTTGAGCAAATCCTTTCTCTAAACCATCATTTCACGTATTGTGATTATCATGTCAACAACATTTCAAAGCGAGTACTATTCACTGTAACCTAATTTGTATTAAGCGCTATTCTTAAATATCCAAGATATCTAATATGTTGAAGCCCGGCTTTCGTTTTTTTATAATCTTACGAATTACTTCTTTTTTCGGGCCTTTGCCTCTATTTCGAGTAGGTTGTTCGTCGTCATCGTCAGGATAACGAGATGGTCGCTCGTATTCGTCATCTTCATCCGAAAGATCAGGGTCTCTGTCTCTCGGAGGATTCTTCCTTTTCTTTTTAGGCCAGTAATTTTCAGGGTCATCACTTGGATAACGATAGTCAGATTCTTTATAAGGTCTATATTTCTTCTTAGGTCGAACAGGCACATCATCATCATATACACTTTCTACAGATGGGATATCAGGAACGAACGGATACCTGTATCTATTTTTTAGTTCAAATTCTTGTACAGTCGGGTACCTACCTTCTAAAGGTGGTATCCTTCCAGCTAAAGCGTAAGGGCTTACTAATTTCTCATAGTTCAAATTAGGTTCAAGTTTTGGTAATTTGTTTCCAAAGTCATATTGGTTAATATATTTATCAAAATTGAGCGTAGACGGTTGCACAAAGCTGTCAGTTGTCAGTAACGGTGGATATCTTGCACCGTCGGCCACATTAGTGTATAAATTGGTGCCTGCGCTTTGGGCACCGAAATGTTTGTGTTTATGTTTACAATTTGGATCAATATCAAGTCCAAAGTGGCTGTGGGATTCACTTGCAGCCCCTGTTTCATCACGAGGGTGTTTTATAGATACACTGTGAGAAAACTCGCTGGACTCCAAATCTGTTGGAAACTTAGGTCGTTTTTTTGAAGAGTAGTCCTTAAATTCAGTGTCAAATGGATGTCTTGATTTCTTTTTATTGTCAAGGGGCAAATATGAGTCAAATTCTGGTTCGTCACCAAAATCAAACTTTCCATACTCCCTCATGGCTTTATCTTCGAAACTTCGTCCACTTTCGGGTTGGTCTATTTTCTCCCCTCCGTTATTGACTACTGCTGTGAAACCTGTTTTTGGATGCGCTGAGTATTCTACAGTTCTCATAGATCCATCTGGTTCTACCACGCTGTAATGACCTGGAATGAGGAAATAGTCTAAGATATGGCATTTAACTTTTTTATAATAAGTACCTACAAAAATAAAATAAACATAAAAATACCTCCACTAGTTTGTTATAATTATTAATACAAAGATCGAACACTCAGAAAAAACACGTTCGTTCTGTGGCTTAGTTGGTAGTGGTAGCGTCTGGCACGGTATGCAAGAAGACGTCGGTTGGAATCCGACCGGATCGAAGGAATTCTTTCTGAGTGTTTTTTCTGAGTGTTCAATGTTTGTATTAATATTTATAACAAACTAGTGGAGTAATTTCACAAAAAATAATTGAATATTAATTCAATAAAAATTTAATTAATACAGTGAATAGCGACATCTCTCGCCAGGACTGGTAGCTGTAAAGGTACTAACTGGGTGATAAATCTGTCATAGATTTCTCATAGATGGCGCTACGACTAAAAAGTTGTTGAAAGACCAAGTACAAAGACACGATGCAAGCACATAGAAAAATTCGTGAGGTCCATTCATTGGTTCGTTCCGTGGCTTAGTTGGTATAGCGTCCGGCACGGTATGCAAGAAGACGTCGGTTCGAATCCGACCGGATCGAAGGAATTTTTTCTGAGTGTTTTTTCTTAGTGTTCGATCTTTGTATTAATAATTATAACAAACTAGTGGAGTAATTTCACAAAAAATAATTGAATATCAATTCAATAAAAAATTAATTATTAAAAATACCTTTCACTGTGTCACCTTCTTTCGTTTCCCACACAGACTTAATGTCTCCAGTACCAGCGTCGGCCACGCCATAGCTGAACGAGTAGTTTGGATTTCCCTGTAGACAATTTAAGCCAAATGCACATTAATAACGATTATTTTTTTGCGGCACTCAATTACTTAGTAATGATTTAGAATAGCAAAAAACCGAGAGTGAATGTGTGGGGCGATAGCTCGCGTGTGTCAATTCAATATTTTACTCATAATGACATTTCATCGCATGCTTGCCTATTATAGTCTAGTATTCTGAATAAGTAATGAGCGTTTTAATCGTTTGCATAATGTTGGTATGTACTGCCAATAAAAATTAGAGAAGCGAAATGTGTATCGTCACTGTGTCCGACATGTTGCCGCACGCAGCTTCTATTATTCTTGATCAAGACCTGATTGCTCAATCCTTATAACATCGTGTCGATGATCAATGCGATATGTTGCTATAATATACATTTTATTTTCGAGTTTAGAACGAATTTCTTTCAAAGTTACATTTTGAAATACTGATGCTTACTACGACTTCAATTACGACTATTTTGAATATAAGTCAATGTTTCTTCCATTTATTTTTCTTCAAAATTTATCATTTATTAACAAACAACTTAAAATTAATGGGATCAGAAGGCGTGAGATTCTTTTTCAACATAAACTATAGGTAAATATATACGAGTGGCAAACGTGGCACATACTATCAGTTTTGTATAATTCACGATTGATGAGTCACTTAACAAGTAGTACGGTAATATTTATAAACAACATCTAAATGTCACTTGTCGGCAATCTTCAAGTTCAAGATGAGCCGGCGGCAACAGCTGCGGCACCGCGTGCGCATCGTAAGTAACTCAATGTCAATGACAGATCATTCACTTTCACTTATTTCCGCTTACGTGTTAAGGTTATGTAAGTTGTGGAGATTTTGAAGCCGATGTTGCTTGCTAATATCTTAGCGCATTGAAAAACTATTATGACAGATGATAATCTATTAGAAACTCAATGGTAATGATGTTTGTAGAAGTTTTTGATCGTTGCAATTTATTTTATTATTCATCCTCATTTCTTTAACGAAATGCAAATCATCTTCATCAAAGTCTTTTGACTTTGATGAAGATGGCTTGCATTAAAATAATGACATGTTTAAAATAATGAAAATAAATTGTTAATAGTTGCATTTGCAAAATGTTAACGTTTTTTAATCAAGTGGCAATAAAAAAAATCAGATTAAATTTTTATTAATAATCTATCATTACATAAGTAAATTGTTTTATTTTCATAAATATAAAATGCAATATTATGCGCTTTTCGGTTTACAAAAAGTCAACAATCTAGTTTGACAAGTAGTAGGTACTTTTACTGCCTAACTGGTTGTGTCGTTATGGAGAAATGTGGGTGAACCACATAAAGAGAAGCTTTACAAGTCATGACATAATTTTCTTTAAATTTATGTTTCACTTAAATATTTTTGTATCTAATACGCTTTATTTTAGAAGATTCAATTCAAGAGGGCATATGTAAGGCTTGGGCGAGTATGCGGCCCTTCAAAATACATCTCAAGGACAAACTACCCCTGAAAGGGTTGCATTTGGGCCGGGTGTGTGACTTTACATGACTTTGCTGCATACGAACATCTTAGTTCATGAAAGTTTTTTAATACACTAATGAAAAATCGACATATATGCTTAAGGCATGTCATAAGTTCCATGCTATTCGCCTAAGGAACAAGATACAAATATGGGTTTACTTACGACTGTAGTTATTTAACATACTAATGTCTGTAAATAGGAAAAAATTACAAATGTCACGTATGATGGACGACCTGGAACCGTGACTTAAATACCTCGGGGAACCAAACCCAAGAAATGGCATTAAGAAAGGAACAACTGCCTAAATGTAATTCTGCACAAGCAAAACAAATCCAGGCATTCACATCAAGTCATCTGGATGTGCATTAAGTACTCGAGATATACTTGTATAAAACAAATTTTAAAGTTATTTAATTTCTCGGTTTTTGTAGGTTGGCATCCCAAAATTGTCAACTTAACAAAAACTACTACATTAAATAATCCCTAAGTAGCAGTAGAACTCCTCGTGCAAGAGTTCGTCCAAGAAGATTCTGCCACCTTACCTGTTTCTGCTGGTAAGGTGGCAGAATGTGCTGGCTGGTGAAATTACAGGCACATGGGACTTTTCAACTTATGTCTCAAAGCGACGAGCTAAGTGGCCCCAGATCTTTGCGATTTAAAGTTCTGAGTGGCACTGCAAGATTTTTAAAGAAAATCGTATCGTAATCGTGTCGTTAGGTCTAAAAATGCGGTCGACACTTGCCCTGAGCAATATCGTGTCGACATTCAACGTCCACTTTCGATAAGTATTTTGTGTAGCGACATGTTACGTGGGTTTCGTCAATGATAAACTGTAGCAGCGGTATTTTAATAAGAACGTACTTGTTTCACTCTAAAGTGTTGCGGAATATTAATTCATATTTTAAACGTTGGAATATGCATCTGTGTGGGTGGTACTGAGTCATTGTAATCCTAATAACGAAAACTCAAGCAAAAAAATAATTACAAAACCATGGAAAAATACTACTACTTCTACACGATAACGCCAGAGCGCTTACTACCAATGAAATCATTCCCACTTTAAAAGAGTTCTAGATTGTAAGCTCTTCACTATCCACCATACCCACCTGACTCAGATTTTACCGATTACCAAAATTATTTGGTAACCACCTATTAACAGAGAAAACAGTTTAGTTTCCGTGAGTCAGTCGAAAATTAGCTCCAAGATTTTATGGGTTCGCGTTTTTCACTCGGGAAGGATGGCACAGGAACAAATGAGCTTGTAGCAAGATCTGGAGTAGTGGAGAGCTCCTCGTGAAAGAGTTCGTTCAGGGAATAAGCAGTAATAAGAGCATTACTGTGTAACAGTTTTGAGGGGTAAGGGTACTGGTGAAATTACGGGCACAAGGGACTTGTCAACTTACGTCTCTGGGTGACAAGTGCTGTGTCAGTGTCCCTCAGATCTTGTGGTTCAAAGCTCTGAGTGGCACTGTAACTGCTATGACAGGCGTGTCGTCTACCACCAGGCGCGTCGAGCCTGGTTGTGCGACTTGTTCGTCCAGTCACTTGGTATCATAAAAAATGGTTCAACCGGAAACCAAATACTTATGGAATATATTATAAAGCACACTTAACCGCTGGGCCTACGCGGTCGCCTCAAATTTCTATAGCTCATATTACAGGAGACCTAAGATTTATATCCTATAGCCGGTAAACTACGTCAGCTGTATATGGAACCCAACTACCGTAAATGTCTATAGGTGGCAGTTATCGCTTTCCATACTGTTAACATGTATCATTATTTTTACAATTGTCACTTTAACACCTGAAAGTGAACATTTTTACATGCAACGCGACAAGATAGTCGATAGTATATGTACATTAATCGAGTGAAAATTACACGTCCAGCGCTCAATCAGTGACATAACTACATGATATTAATACATCATGTTCATATACCGAGAAATGCACTTAATATGTACATTGTAATTCGAGATTCTGCGCCTTATAACACAGGTCAAAGACATTGTTTTTGCTTGCTTTCTGTTTTGAATATTATCTTTTTTACGATGTTGTTTGAAACTGTATTTTCATTACAGCTAGCAATGTACACATGATAGCAAACAATATTATATAATATAATGGTTATTAACAGTTGTGTTCTCCAAATGTCCAATGGATCACATGTCTTTTGTAAGGGGAACCGACTTCAAATAAGGAGGATGGAGGTTCTTGATACGACTATTTTTTGTGTTTATGTTACGCAATTACCCCGACATATGGGAACTAATTTCGATTTTTTTTTTGTTGGAAAGGAAATTCCTTAGCAGGTCTCCCTTTAAATTTGAAAAAAAATTCCATAGATGATTCAAAGAAAAAAATTCCATTGAAAAAGATTCCATTCTCATAGATGGCGCTACGACTAAAAAGTCGTTGAAAAAACCAAAAATACACGACAACAAACACAGAAAAATTCGTGAGGTCCGCTGGTTCGTTCCGTGGCTTAGTTGGTATAGCGTTTGGCACGGTATGCTAGAAGACGTCGGTTCGAATCCGGCCCGATCGAAGAAATTTTTTCTGAGTGTTCGACCTTTATATTAATAATTATAATGAACTAGTGGAGTAATTTCACACAAAAATAATTGAATATAATTCAAGAAAAATTTAAAAAGAATTCCACCTCCGAGAATGGAAAATTAGGGGATGAATCGGGTTTATTGAAGTTCACCCTCTTATAAAATTTGGTAGTGAATTGTATTGAATTCCAACGAAAATAAAATGTTATGTTGCTAGAGCTGACGGCAATGAATGGCAGTTAGATGTTAGGAACTCCTCAACAGTGTATTTGGGCTCCTGTGATTCATTTTGACGAGGACTTCCACATGTTTCAGTTACCGTTGAGGAGATCCCGGTAACAAACACAGTGAACACGGATAAGCAAACCACCAGTTCCGCGTTTTTTTTTATCATATCAAGTAGCAAGCGACACGCCTATGTTGCAGTGCCGCTCAGAGCTTTAAAGCGCAAAGAGCTTAGGGGCACTGCCGTTGCGCCCGTCACCTTGAGACATAAGTTGAAAAGTTTTAGTTTTTAGCACCCTTACCCTTCCAAATCGCAATCCTCACATTACTGCTAGGCGGCAGCAATTGGTAAATTGGACGAACTCGTTCACAAGAAGCTCTACTGCTACTACAACTACGTCCATCTCGTCATTTTGTATCATAAAAAAACTTTGGAGATCTTTTTTTTATACAAAAAAGTTATACTGATAAATACACTTAGGAGTTGAATTGTCCTCGCACTGTTTTATTAAACATACCTAGTGCAATTGTTAAACAGAAAGCTACAACATGCATCTGTACAAATTGCAAGAGCTCATCTTTCTGTCGGTCTTTATCTAATATCTATCTATAACCTTAACATTATTAGTATCATTTGTTGCAAGTTTATAACCATAATATAACTTTTCTTATTTATCAATTCTTATCGTGGTAAGGAACTTATAATTAGTGATAAATCATTATGTGAAAAACCACGGGAGTCTTAAAAGTTATATGGCTCAAAACACGTTATAATAATTGTCATATATCTAAATGCTCAAATTATGTAGGCTAAAAAGTTCATGCAGTATCGATATATAAATGACAAATATAAAAAATATCAAATTTTGTTCAAGTCGATTTACAGTATTTTGTCGTCTTTTGGGTAATCTTTAACCGATTTCAAAAAAGGAGGAGGTTCTCAATTCGACTTTTTCGAATGTATGTATAACGATAACGACTCCGGCATTTGTGAACCGATTTTAATGATTCTATTTTGTTGTATAGAGGATACCTCAGCATTACTCCTATTTAAATTTAAAGAAAATATTCCACCTCCAAATGTGGCAAACTAGAGGATGAAATCGGTTTCGCGCACTTTCCGGTAACCGATTTCAATAAAACTTGGCAAATAGATGTAATTCCACGAAATTTGAGGTCGTTTTTTTTAATACTCTGTACTGAGATTATTTAAATTTTAAAATTCCCATATCATAAAGATTTCTGTATTTATTAAATATATCGCTTCCTTATCAAAGTAGTATCTATTGGAAGAATTTTGTAAAGACAAAAACAAGTGCCAATCTGAAGGTGGGCTATTGCTGCGCTATCCCAACCTAATTACTATAGTTTTTGATGGCAATAATGCGTATCATCATAATTCGACAAGTTTTGATGTTCCGATTGCACCATCTTCAAAAAATATATCTTATTTTTTTATTTCTTTTCATTTTCGCGCTAATTTAAAAAAAGTAGTAAGGAGTTCTAAATTTAGAAAAATAAATTCCGGAAAAAGTTTTTATTTAACCTTAAAGTCGCTTATGTATACTTAGACTATGGAATTTGTTTCCATCCTTTATGATCAAACTCGTATTATTTTTAAAATGATCACACATGACAATATAAAATGAAAAAGCTCGTATTTATTTAAAGTTAGTTGTTAGAATAAAAATCATACGGAGTTTTAGACCAACCTATTACTGTAGGCTTCGAATAGCAAGAAATATGAAACTTAAACATTGTCGGCTAGCTACCTTTTATAATTTCATTAAATGATATATAATTTGATTTAATTAACAATATAACAGAAAAATTATTTATTCGAATAATTTCGTCCTTGCTCCAGTATTTATCGTGCCTTAATTAACCCGCATAAGTATGGCGTAATTTGTTCTTTTATAATGTCCGCCATAGGTATAAATTTAAGAGCCGTTTTGTAACAACCAAAGTATACTTAGGGTGGCTTGCATAACATTCGATTTAATTCACTGCTAAATAAAACTAGTTAAACGCATATAACACCTTTTTGCAAAAGATTGCAAATTGACACTTAAAATTAGGCATGCAACGGAAACCTTGATCGTCATTCATCAACTGGCGAAGTAAAAACTTAAAGAAATGTAAAATTTTCTATGATAGGAAATGAAACTATTTTTCCGGATTTAAATCGCGTATATTTGTTTTTTCAAACAAACCTAGTTTGTTGGTTTGTTTGTTTGTTGGTTGGTTTGTTCGCGTATATTTGTTTTTTCAAACAAACCTAGTTTGTTGGTTTGTTTGAAAAAACAAATATACGCGATTTAAATCCGGAAAAATAGTTTCATTTCCTATTTGTAACAATCGCAAAAACCTAAGAACTCGATATTTTCTATGATGACAACTATTTTATATAATTTGCAAAAACGCACAGTCCTTATATACATTTTAGTACGCTTAACTGCCATCTATTTCTAATTATCTTTTTGAGTTCGTTAAATATATTAAAAAACTTAATTTTTGTTATGCAAGCTGTTAATTTTATTTAAGCATTTTAAATTGGTTAAGTACATGTTAAATCAAATGCAAGCCATCTTTAGGTAGTGGAAGCCACCCTTAGGTTATTATAAAACCTCTCTTATATTTTACTATGAACAAAGTTAAAATTTCTTTCCTTAAAATATACAAATACTATATACGTTATCTGTTTATTTATTTTTTTACTATTAAAAGTTTTGCAAAAATGGTAGCGCAATAAAAACCTTAAAAAGAGCTCGAAATGAAGTTGGAAAACTCGTTTGCGTCTTACGAAGTGCCTACCCACTTCTATAAATTGAATTGCAAGAATACAACAAAATCTAAAAAAGTATACTTAACTATAAAATTAAAATATCACACATAAACAAATTAATTAATTTAAACATGAGATTCAAAATAAAAACAATTGAATTTATTTGCATTTAATTAATGCCGAAGTTGATGAATGTGGCTTCCTATCCTATTAATCTTTTAAGACTGAGTGACAGAGAAAGTAAAAAAAAATGTTTACTCACTGTTGAAGTTGGAATTTCTGCACTACCGCCTATTGCTTCCTCTTCTTGACATCTTAATACTGAAAGACTTGCAAAGAGGACCTACAATTGTATAAAAATATTATTTTATTAACACAAATACAAAAGAAGTGAAATTCGGAATGCTTATGAAATTCACTTACCAATAGAGCTAAAAATTTATCCATGATCACAAACTAATTTCGCATCCAGCTTGAGCCGCAATATCACTGACACCGAAATAGAACCATTACATAATATTTTTTGTAAAATGTGAAATTTTCAAGTATTATTAGAAGAAAATAGTGTGAATCATTGCCAAGGTTGGGGCTGTATGAAGACGCGCTATGCGGGGCAGTTACCTATATGCATTTATAAACACACACTGTTACACCTCCCAACTAGTCGCTGGGAATACATACACGCATTTTGATGTACGATAGCTCATCTAGAATGCATTTGCTTTTAATCACAGGTTAATCACGGATGTACTTATTTTCTACTGATATACTCAACTTCCTTTATGACTTTCATTCTTAATACATATATACATGAAGAGTTTATTTAATCGGACTAAAAGTTTCATTGAAGTTTATTGTTAACTATGACTGTATCTAATGGTTACGCAGATGAACATTAATTTATACTATAATATAATGATGTTACGGAAATCACTATGCAAATGCAATATCACGAAAAATTTGTAGGTAAAAATTCAACGATCCGATTATCAAGGCCTTTTGTTGCAAAAATTTTCTCTACTGTTTATATAGAGGGTGCTAAGTAGTTTAGTAACAATAGTAACAATTATAAAATGACAAAAGTTACTATCATACACGTACGGTACATACATCGAACGAACGTTTTAGTAGCTTTAGAGCTCCTTGTCAAAGAGTTCGTCCAGAGACGTACTGCCACCTTGTCTGTTTTTGTGTGTGTAGTGAGCATTTCTGATTATCCTTCCTTTTCCTTTTTTTTTGAAGGATGAGGGTGCTGGTGCAATTACGAGCACGTGGAACTTGGCAACGTATGTCTTAGGGTGATGGACGTGGTGGCAGTGCCCCTCAGATCTTTGTGATTTAAAACTCTGAGTGGCACTGAAACTCCTATCGACAGGCGTGTCGTTTAACATCAGGCACACGAGTTGTTCGTTCATTTAGTATCTTGAAAAAACACAAATCCAGTAGTCAGTTTTATTTGGAACAGTAATATTTTCTTGCTGTATTAAAATTTGTTCCAAACAAATCCTACTGGGTTTGTAACACGAAAAAACCTCCTATTCATCTGTTACTTTTAGCATCTTACAAATATATTACTAGGTAGAAGTTTTCATGTGCTTATAAGACTAAGCTATGTATAATATGTACTTAAAAGTTGAATGTCATAGTCACATCGTCGCTTAACGTCAGGTGAGATTGTGGCCAAGCGTGTATCTATTATATTTTTTTAAAAATGTTCTTTCATTTTTGGAATGATGTCTAAGGATTCTAATGGTCTACTCTGAAAAACTTGCAATCCTAGGAGAACTTTTCTCATATCTACAGACTATGATGCTATTTAGAACATAAGATGAATAAAAGACAAAGTTCCTTCAGTAGACAAAGCTTTACCAAGAAATAACTCCCGTTATAATATTTTAAGAAAGATCACAATATGTTGAGTTTTTTTAAAGTGCCAGACAACATCACCTATTGCCTGGTCTCAAACTAGGGAATTCCCAGTACTATGAAAACCAGAGCAACGGAGTTCACCTTGGGGCATTTCTCAGAACACCCAGACCAGAATCAATTTAGAAAAGTTTATTTCTCCTAAATTCGTCCTACTAGGAATCGAGCCCGGGCTATCCGCATCCAGCGCCCACAGTGCAAACCGTTAGGCCACCGAGGTTGACAAAGTTTGGAAAACACAGATATTTTGGTTACAACGTTCGTATTAGGTTGAAAATATAAGTACCATAATATTACTTTAATATTATGAAAATAGATAATGCACTTAGTGAAGTAAGTTAAGTTGCATTGACGTTACAGGGTTTAATTTCGAACATGTAATAGCTTTAAGAGATGAAGAGATACGACCATGACTACGAAGATGTTATAAAATATTTATACTTGTAGGTTGATAGACCACCACGTCTATTCTATAATGTCAGCTTTATTGGGAGCAGTAGAATCAGGGATAAATTAGGAGATAGAAGACATGAAGCTTTAAATATAAGTAAACGTAGGTAAATAGATTGCTTCGTTCCTAACAATTCAAAAGCCTTTTCTCGATATACGTATTTGTTTTTTATATGTAAATAAATAATGCATTTGGCCTCCATCTGACTTAATGGAAAGCGACGATGAGGTTGACAATGTAGCATGCACTTTTAAATAGTGCCTATTTACTCTCGCCTTGAAAAGGCCCAAGTTATAGTGTTCGGTGAACAAGTCTGCGGGCAGGGAATTCCACTCCTTTGCCGTTCGCCATATAAATGTGGAAGCGAAACGCTATAAGCGAGTCTTTGGAATATCCACAACATAGTCGTGGCCCAGCCTACGTCTAGTCCTACGATGATGAAGGCGGAATTGAACTGACAGGTTGACGAATAGAATTAAGTGGCAAAGCAATATAAGTAACATTTTGCTACGTATTTCTAAATTAATTCTTGCTGCTGATAGATACATCAACGAAAATATAATGCACTATTTATGCTAAAGCTCACTCGAAAACGAAAAGTGCAGCTGCTACCATTTGAAACCATTAAGTGAACTATGCTCGTATCAATAAGTATCATGCACGCTAATTAATGAAAGCGAATGTATCCGTGTATAATATATATTGCGCCTGTGCAATTTATGGCTCTATTAAATTCCACGTCCACGTTACTTTTGATAAATGTACTAGATTTATCGATTGGCATTAGTTTGCGTTTTAGATTAAATGTCTGGTATAAAATCGTACATGTTCCACTGCCAGAAACGAATCTCGCGAAAACGGTAAATTTGCAGCAAACTGCAAACGACTATATAATATACTAGATAAACGATTCAAAAGTTAAATCAAATTATTTGAATGAAAATAACAGTAGGGGGTCCCGTCGTATAAAGAGGTGAAAGAAAAAGACTAATTTGCATCTATTACTACCGCCTCTTAAGCACAGGTCTCGGGTTCGAATCCGGGCTCGCACCTCTTAGTTTCTTGGAATTTATGTCCGAAATTTAATTTGAAATGTACTATGAGCATGTCGGTCAAGGAAAACATCGTTATGAAACCTGCACGTTCACAACCCTCGGATTAAGAGTAAGTCTAACCCAACCCGCATTGGGCCGGCATGGCGGACTGTGGTCTAAGCACTCGCTTGTGAGGAGACCCGTATCAAGTAGTGGAACGTTTATACGTCATCATCAACCATTTATATGATTGATGATGATGATGACACCGAAAACAGCTTAGTTCTCAAATCTAAGATAATCTGTGATCTAATAGAAGCTTACACTTACACTACAAAATGTTCTCAGCCGTAACCATGGGACTCGCAAAGGCCGTTGTTTTAGGAAATGAAACTATTTTTCCGGATTTAAATTGCGTATATATGTTATTTAAAAAAAAAACGACGTTTCAGGCCCTTTACAGATCCCATGGTCATGGTTGAAAATACAAATATATGCGATTTAAATCCGGAAAAGTAGTTTCATTTCCTATGTGTAACAATAGCGAAAACCTAAGAACTCGACGTCGTTTTATTAGAAAAACGAATATACCCGATTTAGATCCAAAAATATAGTTGCATTACCAATGTGTGTAGTGAAAACCTAAGAACTTAAAAATTGAGACTTACTTTTAGTATCTTACGTAATCTTAGACACTTATTGTTATATTTTGTAATGTACCTTAATATCTATCAATGTTAAAGATAATAATATCTTGACATAGTAAGTTATCACTTATAATTTTTATACTAACGATGAAATATAGAAGTTTTTTACTTTTAATATCAATTATAGTGTATTGACATTTTCATGAACTAATAAATATATTAAATAATAAAGTGTCAGATTGTAAAAGCTAAACGTGAAGTTGTCAATAAATATTAATAATTTCATCAAATTATTATTTTTTCAGTTTCTTTTCATTTTCCATTCTTTCTTTTCTTTGTTGTGTACTTTAATACAACTACAGTTTAAATATCCTGGTATTATAATAATTTTTGTGCAGTAAAATATTATTGTAGAAGTAAATTGCAGAAATCTATATTTGCTTGATAAATAAATTACTTTAATACATTCATGCAAAAAATCTCAAATACCATTATATATTTATTACAGTAAAATGTACACACATGTATGTGTGTTAAGAAGAAGGCAATGACTATACAAAGTTTACTATTTAAGAATACAACTGGATTTTCATTTTTTCTTTTCTGTAATAAACAGGCGTGTCGCTTACCACCAGGCGCATGACTTGTTCGTCCCGTCACTAGGTATCATAAAAAAATAAATATAAGATAACCAAACATTACACAAATTTCTCAATAGTTTCTAGTAACTGAATTTAAAGACTTTTTTATATTATCAAGTGACGGGATGAACAAGTAGTGCAGACGCACTACTTGTTGATGGTAAGCTACAAGCCTGTCTATAATAGTTGCAGTGCCAGAACTTTCAGAACTTTGAATCCGCTAAGATCTGAGGGGTACTAACACCGCGCCTGACACCCAAAGACATAAGTTGACATGTCCCATGTGCCCGTAATTTAACCAGCATCCTTAACTTTCAAAACCGGAACACAGTAATGCTAACATTACTGCTTGGTGGCAGAAATAAGTAAGGTGGCTCTATTAGACGAACTCTTTCACAACGAGCTCTACTACCACTATGATAAGATTAGATTAAATAAGATAAAGAAAATATTTGTTTGCTAAAGAATTTAAAATAGTAGTACGTTTCTTTGTCAAAAACATGATTTTACAAAAATTCCAAGTACAGTTCACTATTATACTTAACTTTCCATTTGTCCCGGAAAACGATAAGACGTACAATACGTATAATAAAACAAGCGTTCGCACAAATAACATTGTTAAAAATAACGATACTAATCTCTTACAGCGTATTAACATTAATTCCTTTTTTCATTGTACCACTTAAATCAATTGCGTTAACTTTAATAAACAATAGGCTACTTTCTGTCATTATTACAAAGGAAAGTTGGCTTAGTTAGGAAGTCTAGTTCTTAAGTTAAACGATTATGTGCATAATGGAAATTGCGTCTACTTAGATTGTTGCGAATTTTTATTGTTTGTACGTGAAACTGATACGTATCATATAGAAAGTTTTTCTCTTGTTTTGAGTAAGAAAGGTTTTATAAAAAGTATAATGGAATCGTTCAAACAACTGCGTTTCAAGCAAAACAACGCGGTTTTGTTATCATTGTCATTGTCATCTCACTATAGGTCCGAGTGTTCATCACGGGTGTCTAAGAAGCGGGTTTCGATTATAGTCCTTCACGATAGCGCAATGCAGGTTGGAGAGTTCACAAATGTTCCAAGGGTTGTGGATTTACGTCGAAGAAGGTTTCTTTGTATTCCTTCACTGTCCGTCAGTGAGAGGCGTTGCTAACAAATATTCACAAATGTTACGAACATTAAATTTATTATATTTGTGATTAAATTTATATTAAAATGATATTCTATATGGTAAGGCATATTGTAGGCAGGCAGGGTGGAGGTGGCTAGTGCAGTGAGGGTTTCATCGCTGCACTAGGTTCCTTCGCGTTTGGATACCACTTTCCACTTAAAATCAGGTGGAGTGGTGTCACTTGCCTGTCATGTATAAAAAAAAAATATCTATTACTTTTTGTGAAATTACTCCACTAGTTTGTAAAATTATAAATATACGTGAGTTAGAAATTATATATATGTACACGCGGTTAAAGGGATTCGAACTGTTGAACTCTGAATTAAGAAGCAACCGGTCACTACCTTACCTACACAAAATTCAAATGCTTACAGTAGTGCAAAAGCTTAAAGCTTTTTTGTTTTGTATACTGTCATGGCGATGGTACATTTGAACAGGAAAAACAAATTAACGGTCAATAAATTTGCTATTATATATTCATATGTCATATTTTTGTTTTTATAATTTTTTCTGCTTTTATTGTCTTTTTTACCTTACTGGAATATTGTGTTACTTTGTACACTTTGTGGAAGGTGAAACTGTCGATGAAAACGATGATATTATCGATGAAAACTGGTTAGAAAAAACACTTGTAAACTTTTGAGTTATTTTTATTTTATTCTGTGTTGTATCACAAAATAACAAGAACATTTAATCGATTGTCAACCATTTTAAATTGTAATATGTAGAAAGTTATTCAATACGTCAATATAAATATTTTCCCACAATAAACTTGTAATAATATTGTTTTTATATAAACTCACTATTAAGTGATATATATATATATAATTAATCCTTATAACATGTTCATGTATCATCACTAACACATGCTTGTGTAAAATGTTCCGTAAAGATACTAGAGCACGGCTGAAAATATATACAATGCCGTCTATAATTCGATTTGGAAACTATAGTCTATTTATTATTAAACAGTAACGGCATCTAGTGGTATCCGTAGTAATCTCCGTGACCGTAGACTTGCGGGTGGTGAGCGTGACCGATACGTTTCACGACTGCATTGAAGCCGTGGATTTTGTCAGCGGTGTATTCAACGATGCGAGTAGTACCGTCGGGTTCAGCTAGTGAGTATGAGCCTGAAAGTAGAACAGCGGCTTTTGTAGTTCCTCAGCAGATCCATAGATGGCGCGCTTATCAAAATAAAATCGATATTGATGTCGTTTATTTTGTTTATAAACGGTTTTGTGATTTAGATGGTACAGCCAGCTACCCGAGATTAGCTTTTATGGCTACCCATACCCATGTTTGTGAATCTTTTGAAAAATATTTGGAACATTCATTTCAGCATTTTTGTTTAAAATTACTTGAAAATTTAAAAAATTTTAAACTTTTCAAGCTTAACTTAGAACATTTCTTTTAATGCGTTCTCAAAACAAAAATTTTCTAGTAATCTCCGTCTACAAATACCATTGAATTACCATGAATTGAATGTACCAGAGACAAACTCATATTGTTACAAAGGAGAATAAGATTAAATTTTTTTATCTTACCTTTAACGACATCACCATCACGAGTTTCCCATTGATTTTTATAGTCACCGGTGTGAGGGTCATTTACTGAATAATCAAAGGTGTATTTGGGATACGCCTGAAATAATAAATATATCAATTAATTACATAATTATACTACAGTTGCTAATAGCTACGCAGAAGCAACATATTTCCCGTACAAAAGACATCAACGAAAGAATTACACTCATTCATTCTACAATAAATTAGTATGCCATGGTATAATAACATAGGTAGGTACAAGTCAGAAGTATCCTGTCGGACGTGACACAAAATCCTTTTCCAACAAAAGTACGTCTATTATTCCATACTCTGTCGCAATCTATTTCCGTACTTACATCCAACCACATCGACCATTAACCGCAACGAACTTGCATCAAGGCATATCACTACCATTATGATTGTGAGGCAAGCAGTCATGGTGTTTGCACTTAATATTATACGTGAAATTGTGTCCACAGAGTGGAAGATGCAAATTTTAAAAACAGGAAGTAATGCGTGTCACAGACTCGCACGGTACATTGGTAATGTCATTGGGGAACAAATTCAAAATTATAAGAGATACATGCTTTCAGGTGCCCAGCTCAACAAGTAAATGCAATGTACGGTGTTCAAAAGTTGGGAACACAGCTTGAAGTGCGGCTTTATTTACATTTTGCAATTACATATTTCTGTAATTATTTGTTAACTGTTAGCGGAAACAATAATTTTGGTATTTAAGTTTATTTATCGCAGTTGCAGGTCGCTGATCAAGATAATTGCCATATGTATCCAATATCATTGACGTATTTGTCAATTCAGTATGCCAGAGTAAATCAATATGCCAGATAATTATACCTGTTTACACCTGTTTGTTAAAGTAGAATGTTCCCTGAACTATGAGAACACAGATCACTGGGACTAGAACAATAATAAAGATATATAGGCCTTTGAAAAATGGTACTTACATAGTAGTCCCCATGTCCATGTCCTGCGTCTACGTAGCCAGCACCTAGCTGGTTGTAGCCAGCATAGCTCCCAATGTAGCCTGCGTTAGCTGCGGCGCAGGCTGATGCAAATACGAATACCTGAAATCATATTTAAAAAAGGCTTTAATGGAGTAATTGCGTCATTAGACAATGAATGGGATAATTATAATTTCAAAATAGTCAAATAGACCACACGCAAAATAGGCGCCTCGACGTCGAGTTACGGAAACTAGCCCGTTACACCAAGTACCAAGTAGTCAAATTCGATTGGATAATTCAATACTAGCGATGATGTTAATGACTATAGAAATCAGATAGTGTTATACAATAATATTGAAAATGTAAATTCTATTTACATCTCGTAATATCACGTGAGATAGCCATATATATATATATATTTATATAATATCAATTAGCTTCATCAAAATGATATGCGTATTCATTATAAAAAGATCAGATCCAAATAAATTACACACATTACAAGAGTGAACGATTAGGCAAATAAATATTGGTATGAGGACAGTACGCGCTATATGCTACTTAATTTTTAAAATATAAATTAATTATCAGTGCAACCTAAATTAAATTTAAGATACAAGTACAAGGTACAATGAATATAATAATTTTTTACTTTATTTATAATAATTTTCTGTCTATACAATTAAATATAAATGTTTTGTAATGTAATATCAAATTGGATATAATGGATTTATACCTAAATTAAAAAATATTTTAATGATTATTTACTATTTTTACCCATAAAATGCACATATTTCATAATACTTGGAACTTAACCTTGACTTTGCAACAATGGTTATTTAACAGCTCTAACATTACTATACAAATGCTTCATAACACGACGATAAGATCCACTACATCGTAAGGTCACTCATGATTCTTAAAGAAACAATGCGTTCAACATATCCCAGAAAACACACATCAAAATCTATCTCTTAATAAAATCAGTATGAAGAAAACCGATGTTTAATAAAACTAGAACAATAGGGCAAAACAAACGCAGGAAATGTTAGCTAATAATTCTATACAATTTCCGTAGTAAGGTTTTACTTGGTAATGGTGGCTTCCCATAGTTACGGTATATATTGCGTCTATGTCATTTAGTGAATCAGTTTTATGTATTTCCATACGACTACGATCGATTTTCTAAATATTCCATTATTAAGACTTTAACTATTTAATAAAAAAAGTATTAAATCACATGGAAGAGAAATCTAGGCGATTGTTCGAAAATATAATAACATAGCCTTCCGTATATTGCCTTTTTAATTCAAATGCTAAAATAGTAGTAGTCGAAAAAATGGTCTTATTTAAATACTGCTTATTTTCGTAAATATGGTTTACGGAGATATCATTATATTTTACAGCCTAAAGCGTCATACTATTAATTTACCAGCAAATCACTGAACACGGCTTTAATTTCATTTCTCAAAAGGCTTTTTTATAATATCAAGTGACGGGACGAACTAGTCGTGCGCCTGTTGGTAAGCTTTAAATAGCAAAGATCTAAGGGGTATTGCCACTGCGCCCGTCACCCTGAGATATAAGTTGACAAGTTCCATGTGCCTGTAATTTCACCAGTACCCTTACCCTTCAAAATAGGAACACAGTGATGCTGACATTACTGCTTGGCGGCAGAAATAGGTAAGGTAGCAGTACTTACCTGGACGAACACTTTCACAAGTAGCTCTAAGGAGCCCTAAGGTTACGTCGTATTATTTAAAAACTACCAAGTTTATGACACTTTTGTCTCTCACTATGGTGTCATTTGGTGTATTTTTAGTAGCAGTTGTGAAAGAGTTCGTCCAAGGAAGTATTACCGTCTTACTTATTTCACAATTACTTACTTATTTAACTGCCTCCGTGGCCGAACGGTTACCATGCCGGACTGCCACGCAGAGGTCCCAGGTTCGATTCCCGGGCCGGGAGAAATGTTTGTATGGCCTTTTTTTTTCTTTTTTTTTTTTTTTGTCGGGGGGAAATCTTTATGGATCCCCTGAGCCCAGGGAGACTCAGGGGTTATGTGGGGACTCTCCCTCCAGGCTGGAGGGCCTACCCCACTAAAACCCCCCCGGGTTTCCCTCTCGCCGGTTGAGTCGGCGCCGTGGGATCAGTGAACATTCACCACGACGCCGCCCGGCCGCCCTAGCTTACGCCAGGGCTCCCGCGCCAACGGAGGGGCGAGTCGGTTGTCCTCCGACCCGCCCCCCAGACGAGTGAGGCCGTGCAATGCAGACTCCGGAGTCCCTGTCCAGAGCCCGCTGGTCTCACTAGGGGATCAGGCGAGCAGCGAACTGCCTTCGCCTTCTCCCCGTACGTCTGCGCCGGAGCGGGTGCGCGTCTGCCGCGTCCTCGCGCACCCGCTCCGCGGCCTCCTTTTGCGACATAACCTCTGCGCAAAAGGAGGCCACCGCCTCCCAGGACTCCTCGCTATCGAGCATGGCGGCAACCACACTCGGCAGCGAGAGGTCCTGCCCTACAGTCCCCGTCAGAGTGCGGCGCTGCTCATCCCACCGGCTACACACCTCTAGGGTGTGCTGCGCGGTGTCATCCGCAGCGCCGCACTCGTGGCACGACGGGGACGATGTTTGTATGGCCTACATTTATTTCTCTCGTGAGTTTGGGTGTAATTTGTGGCTGTCTATATGTGTGTCCATGGCACCCGCGACACAGGGTTTCCCTAGTGCGGGGCTATGTTGAGTGTGTGCGTTATTTATTTATGTTTCTACCGTCAAGCAGTAATGTGAGTATTACTGCATTCCTGTTTTCAAGGGTAAGTTTGCTGGCGAAATTACAAGCACATGAGTATTATCAATTTACGTCCCAGTGCCCCTCAACTGTCATGGATAGGCATATCGCTTACCACCAGGATATTGAAAAACCCTTTTGAGACATTAAACGAAAGCAATGTTCAATAATTTGATGTTAAATTAATCGTACCAAATAGTATGACGCTTTAGGCTGTAAAATATAATGATACCTCCATAAACCATGTTTACAAAAATAAGCAGTATTTAAATAAGACCAAAAGTATTCCTGTCATATACGAGTATATGAAATAACTTACCTTGTTAGTTTTATACAAGATTACTCCTTAGTAAGATCTAATGATCTTATAAGTTTGCGTTTTTTTATAATATTAGACGCTATAATTTTTATAACAATGAGCAACTCTTGAGTGTAATAAGGCAGAACGAGTTTTTCATTCGTAACGAGGGCAGCGGCCTAATGATTGATGATTTTGTTACAATAATAACATTACTTGTCTCAGAAAGGTACACATGAATTAATTTGTGTCGTCATCAACCACCCTTTATACGTCCGGTTGTTAGACACAGGTCTCTTCCAAAGAGAGTGCTTAGGCCATAGACACGGCAGGCTAGGAACTTATCAATCTTCTGCAACATGCAGATTTCATCTGAAATCTGGAATTAGAAAGTCGCAGGAAAAACTTCAAGATTGAGGTTTTCCTAGAGATATTACTACTAGACATTAACAAATGTTTGTAATTTAGAAATTGATATAATAGGTATATACCACCATGGGGATTCTACCCTATCACGGCTTTTTTATACAATCTTCGAGAAATCCAAATTCTATGAAATAATTGTAAAAATGGCTTTTTGCTTGCTATCAATAAACTTTGTACATTTTCGTACATTACGACATTATGTGATTTTTTTTATTGTGCGCGTCTAACAGATTCCGTACAGATCACGGCACTAAAGTCTTTGTTGTACAAAAACATATTTTTGCAAGTTTGGTTTTATTAATTATTATTTAAAAATAATTACACAACATTTTCTAGAAATACTTTTTTAAACTTAAACAAGCGCTAGTCTGTTTTGATTGAAATAAATTAATGCTACAAAACGCATAGCTGCATCACTTATACGTAGCAGTAGATCTCCTTGTGAAAGAGTTCGTCCAGGGTAGTACTGCCCCCTATTTCTGCCACCAAGCATTACTTTGTGCCGGTTTTGAAGGGTAATGGTGCTGTTGAAATTACTGGCACATGGGACTTGTCAACTTATGTTTCAGGGAGAATTTTTGGGATTTAAAGTTCTGAGTGAGACTGCAACTATTATGACAGGTGTGTAGCTTACCATCAGACGCACGACCGTCCCTTCGCTTGATATTATAAAAAAAACAACTTATATGTGAAAAAAGCCAATATTGTATAACATTTTACCATCTTTAAAGGCAATGGAACCACTGCGTTCACCGTTTATCTTTCCATTCCTAACTCTTATTCCTCTGGTCAATACTTGTATATAGAGCTTTGAGCGTCATTGACTTGCAGTTGTTATGGAACTCTGGGAACTATTCCAATTAAATATGCTGATATCACCCATCCTCTATGATATCACCTTACTGAAATTTCTTCTGTGACATTTTCTTTATCGTACGAGAATTGAATAACTGTTGAAGTATTTCTTTTTTTTATAAATCAAACTTTTTTATGCGAAGGAATAAAGTTTTTGAACGTAAAATAGGATAGAAATTATTGAAGGATATTTTTATCGTACATTTCAGAAATTCAATACCGTCAATAATTAAAAAAAAATCTTTTGATTTTATTTTAATATTCTCTATCAACAACAACAAACACAAAGTTCACTGCACTATTATATATCATAGGAAAACAATATAATACATATATCCGATAATTTCGATTAAAAATTACAGTCGATAGGTGCATTTGCAATTCATTAATATTAAAAATAACACAATTTTTTTTTACACTACGACTTCACACTATAAACATACGTTCAATTAAAGGTCGTCTCACACTTACATGGAAAGCACGCATTTTTACTAGGTCACTTTCTTCCTCTTCAGTCCGGCTGACAGGAGAACTGACACTGTTGCCCGCTGCAGTATTGCTCTGTATTTATATCTAGGCTGGTTACACCACCCGCGAGTATAATGTAAGCTACATTGGCGTATGCATTGGAGGTTAGCCGATAACATAAAGGAAGGTAACAATGTATTGATTATTTAGTGAGAATTATGCAGTAAATAAGATGATAGAATTTTGGTTGTACTTAATCTAGGGAACGTATTTAAAAACAGAAGTAACTTTTATGTAAATTTGTTTTCGTCATTGTACAACAGTTCAAATTCACATAATCCTAAGTATTAAAATTAGAGATAACACCTACAACAATCAGTTACATGATCTGTATTATCTTATCTCTGAAAATTAATTTTGGTTACTTTGTTTTGAAATATGATTTTTGTTTGACATTCCCTTTTTAACCCACTTTAAAAAAGGAGAAGGTTCTCAATTCGATAGGATTTTTTTGTGTATATTACTCGATTACTCCGATTTTGATGATTGTCTTTTTTGTTGGCAAGAATACCTCAGTTTTGGTCCCATTTAAATTTAAAGAAAATATTTCACTTATAGTGGCAAACTAGAGGATGACACCGGATTCACGCACTTTCTGGTAACTGATTTTAATAAACTTGGCAAACAGATGTATTTCCACGAACTTTTGAGGTCGGTTTACATTTTATAAAACCGTTATAATTATTGAACCGTGTTCTTGATTGTTTAGAATGCTTTATAAATATCTCAATAAAAAGGTGTTGAGAATTGTCTCAATATCATATAAACTAAATAATATATATGGATCAATATTTTAATCAACCGACTTCAAAAGAAGGAGGAGGTTCTCAATCGACTGTTTGTTTTTTTGTATGTATGTTACGCAATAACTCCGGTATTTGTAGACCGATTTTCATGATTCTTTTTTTGTTGGAAAGAGGGTACCTCTATAGTGGTCTCATTTAATTTTGAAGAAAATCATCTACCTCTAAGGGTGGCTGTTCACGCATGAAGATTCATTTTTATAAATAGCGCCTAAATTTTATTGTAAGGAGGAATTAAAATAATTGCTCCTTACAATAAAATTTAGGCGCTATTTTGATTGTTGATTCTCCAATTCAAGGTGTTTTTCTCTCTTAATATACTTTGAGTAGTGAGAACCGATTTTTTATTATCTCCCGTATCAATTCCCCTATAGTGACGAACTAGGGGATGAATCCGGGTTTGCGCACTTTCCGGTAACCGATTTCAATAAAACTTGGTAATTATATGTAATTCCACGTACTATTGAGGTCGGTTTTTTAGTACTCTGTACTGAGATTATGTATTGATCGTTTTCTGGGCGAACTGCAAGTTTATTTAATGGCATATTAACTTCATGAAATTTCTTGGGTCATTTTTTGAATGAACTTATGTATAGAATAAGTTCACAAATCCAAAAAACTCTAGCACTGAGTTCCACGTGAACTAACAATCTTATTAAAAGAAGAAATTTTTTTTATGTTAAACCTATTTTATACAACAATAAAATTAATTAATAGCGTGCTAATACTTGTCGTTCAGTTGCAAAATATTTATTAACTCTTATGTACTCTCTTTTATCACATATTGATACATTTACTGTATATTGTAAGAAAGTACTAGAGCAAAATAGGCAGGGCCGGGACATTGCTGTACATTATGAAACTGTTAAGGTATTATGCAAACTGGGAAAAGTGGATCGAGTCCTTTAGATCTATATCATGATTTATGCGCTAAACACACCTTTTAGTTGAGCTGTGATAGATTGTCTTACGAGTGGACATGATTGTTACAAAATACAATAAAACCTTTAAGGAAATTTAGTTCCTACGTGTCATAGCGAAACTATTTTCATTTCTATATCTATTTCTCGTGTTAGTTTCCGAACTTAAGCTATACCATTTTGTGGTATAAAAGATATTTCGTATTTTTTTACTATTATTGCGTTCATACAATCCATTACTCTGAATGTGAGCAATATAAATGATTATTAACCTTGATCTACGGTTAAGGTCTGTCATATAATAGTTTTAGTACTATGAGATAAAGTTCTAAAATGGCTCCTATTTTTATCAAAATTTCTACATATTATTCTCACATGACGAAGAAAAATAAAATAAAATTTTAGAACTTTATTCATAAACTCAAACGTGGAGGACATGAAAAAAAACGCACAGAATTTGTAATTGATTGGCAAATGTATTTATGGCATGCGAAAATTGTGGAAATATCTACAATTTCATGAATTATAAGTTGTTTGTGTTCTAACGTGCTATGTAGTGTGGTACTTAAATTCTAGCAGTATTGTAGTTTCCTTTGTGACCGGATGCTGCACATTCGTCTCAACCGGGTTACTCTGGAATCTACTAAACTAGTATTTTAAATATTGATAATTAAAAACGGCTAACGTTCTGCATTCAATGATATCTATATTTTCAAATAACGTCTTGATTATCTTTAATAGGATTGCCTACGTAACTGTAGCCAATGTATAATGCAATATGCAGTGTGCTTTATATGTGTATTTCACAGTTGCTTTCATTATTTAGAAGTGCGTCATTTCTGACATATATTTAATATTGCTTTTTAGCATTTTATACTTTTCTGAACCGATTAAAGGTTATTTCAGCGTCGGCGTACATGGATAACATAAATCCGTAATAGTGACCCGTTGAGCTCTTGTACTTTCTGACGATCTCTATGATCGAGTAGGTTGCACACCGGTTTTCATAGTGTTGCCATCTCTGAGATCCCGGGTTCAATCGCCGGCCGGGTCAATGTAGAAAAACTAAGTTTTCTATAATCCATGTTACCTATTTCCATACGACAAGTGCTTTAGTTACTTTGTGATCAAAGCAACATATGTCATATTGTTATTTTAAACATATCTTCTAAGTTTTGTCGATCTGTGGATATTTGGAATAAACATTGAAACATTTTTTTAATATTTGATTTCCCTATTATAATTATTTATTTACTAATTTTTAACCGACTTCAAAAAACGATGGAGGAGGTTCTCAATTCGACTACATGTCTGTTATGCGATAACTCACGATTCGTAATAAACCGATTTTGATGATTCTTTTTTGTTAGAAAGAGGGTAGTCGGTAGTGGTCCCATTTAAATTTGAAGAAAATAGTCCACCTCTAAGGGTGGCAAACTAGGGGATGAATCCGGTTTCACACACTTTCCGGTAACTGATTGCAATAAAACTTGGCAAATAGATGTAATTCCACAAACTTTGAGGTCGGTTTTTTTAGTACTCTGTACTTAGAGTATTTAATAATGAAATTGATCAAAAAAATCAGTGGTGTGAAAATAGAATAAGTAAAAAATCAGATTTTTCTGAAACGTGATTTTTGATGCATCTATTTACAAAGAGCAACCCCTAAACTTTCTTATTCATTTTTCTCAGGAAAATCTGCCTTGCGAGTAAGTAGTAGAGTTTAATGAATGTGACGATTTCAAAATAACGGGGCATACAAGTCATGTGTGTAGTTGCAAGCGACACGCCATAGTAGCAGCATTGCCGCTTAGAGCTTGAAACCGCGAAGATCTTTGGGGCATTGCCACTGCGCCTGTCACCCTGATACATAAAAAAATGATAGCTGGCAGGCTTGAATGCACTTACATAAACCACTGTAGTATGGCTGCACTTGTGACGGTGTGACCTCTTTACACCGTCATCCCACCTTTTTGTATCGCCTCTCTCCATTCGTATCGTATCGTTTTTCTTCTTCTATTTATATTTAAATTTAAAATATTTTTAATTGTTCCATTTTCCTTCGCATTCTAATTTTATTTCTTTCGACGGTCACTCCCTGCTCGACCGCGATAACGGATAGAACTACTAAGTCAAATTATCTAATTTTTTTATTCTTTTCAAGTTTAATCATAATACAATCAATGTAAATCACGTATCGACCATAATAAGCGAATAACAGTCTATCAGTAATTCAACATAACATTTTGAAACATTTACCTTTTATTTGTTACAGTTTTTTTTCTTTATTTCACGTTACATAAATTTGTGGACCGGAAGTTTCCTATTTTACTGTTGTGATCCTGATCACGGTTGTTAGGGTTACAACCCTTTCACGTTTAAACAAAAGGTGCTACTATTATGTACCATCAATTTATTTAATAGTAATTTATTTTTTAACTAATTTTAACAAATAAATAAAATAAAATTAATTCAAGTAATTAGAATTAATTTTATTTTATTTATTTGGACACTGTTGAAAATTTCGTTTATGTAACTTCAAATATAATTAATTTAAGCAACATGTAATATAATCAGTAATTTGATTTAATTCTATGTGTTAGTATAATTATGGACTATAATGTCTGATATGAATAAATGAATTTGAATAAGTAGATAAGACCTATCGACTATGAACTGGCAAACGGTACTATTTGACAACTTTACACGATGGAGAAAAAAATTGTTTGCGTCATCTATATAGCATCTGGTTTATTCAATAAAAGTACGTAGTGTATGTGTAATAAAAATATTTCAAAACTAACATTTTTTTCTTTATCCTGTGAAGTTGTCAAAATTAAGATAGTACTGATTGCCAGTTGACAGTCGCTATGTCCCTTAATTTCACCAGCACCCTTACCATTCAAAACCGGAACGCAGTAGTGCTCACATTGCTGCGTTCCGGTTTGGCGGCAGAATTAGGTAAGGCATTAGTACTTGCCTGAACGAACTCTTTCACAAGGAGCTCTACTGCTACTAAACTACCAAACTGTTGGTAATTCGTATTACAAAATAGCACCATTACCACTTTAATATGTGTCTTGAGAAATTTCCGACCATGACAATGGACAAATATGTTCTATTGATAGGCCCAAAAAGACAAGCTCAGCCATAATTGTAATGATAGAGCAATAGTAACCTACTAAAGCATATAGTTAATTATTGAAAGACTTCTATTGTTACTGCTAGAGATTGCATGGAACAGATATTTTATTTTGATACGTGATTATTTCCTAACTACTGA